ACTCCCTTCGGCCGACATAGCTTCCTCCCGAAAGCAACAAATCTCTCTCCCGAAGGATGATCTCAATAACTCATAAAAACTCACAGACATCTCTCTGAATATTTTCTCAGTAGTAAGCTCTCAAATTCACAGACTTTTCATCTGGAGATATTCTCTTAAATCCGTAATATATATGCTCTGAAAACAAAGCTTTTTAAATCAAGTCAAGAGAATCTCATTTAAATCCACTCTTGATAAGATCTTCATTATATCCATGATTCTCTCTCCTAGATAGGCTCCAAAATATCTTCACAATATCTTCTCAATCTCTAATTCAACTTATGCAGCAAACCTTCAAATCTGAATTACTTATCCTTGATGCAAGATAACACTTGATCTCCGAATGCCTTATCTTTCGTTATAGCAAGTTATATTTGGATTTTCTTTGACCAAGTCAAATTTCAAGTTCCAATCACATGTGCAGCTCAAGCTTTAATCTTCATTATATATCTTACGTGAATGCATATATATATATATATATAAGTCATTCAAATTTCAAATCTCTAATAATCGGATGAAGCCAAGAATTCGAATCCGAAAACACCTTGATCTTTATGCAAGCTTTATCTCCCATTTAAATTCAAATAACCAATGCATTATCTTCCTTTGATCAAGACCTTATCCTTATCTCTCCAAATCTGATTCTGAATCTTCTTCTGCAATACGAAATCTCCTTGAACTTGTTTTTTTTTTTTTTTGAATTTTTACAAGATTGCCAATAAATTACCAACTAATAAAAATACCTATCAATCTCCCCTTTTGGCAAAACTAACAAGAGATCCTAAAAAAATTCAAAAACGATGAATTTTTACAAGATTGTCAATAAATTACCAACTAATAAAAATACCTATCAATCTCCCCTTTTGGCAAAACTAACAAGAGATCCTAAAAAAATTCAAAAACAACAAAAAAATATAAAATTACATTGCTCCCCCTTTTTGTCAAAAATAAGCCAAAGAGACAAAAATATAAAAAATTCACACCCTAGAACTGTCTTCAGCAGCTTCCTCCCTCTAAATCTTCTATGTGTCTTACTCCCCCTGAATGTAGCATTCTCCCTTGTATAATGCTCTTAACACCTGTCAATCGCTTAGTGCAACCAGCATCACTACACCCACATTCATTAGTGCATGCTTCTAAAGAAGTATAAGCCTTATGACACCTCAAATCAGATTTTCTTACCCACACACGTCTAGAAAAATTATTTTTCACATCAATCTTCACGTTAGGTGTCTTATTTTAGTTTGCATAATTTGGTGGATTAATAAACATACCTTTCTTCAAAGCATTTAAATACTTGTAGCACCGCGGTCTTATGTGGCCAGGTAAACCGCAGTAATGGCATGTGGGGACAAACCTTCTATGTCGAGGGGATGAGATAGTAACCTTCTTAGTGGAGGAGGTCGGAGGCTTAGGGGCAAACGTCTTCTTCACAAACACTGTTTTGGACATTGAGCTTTCACCAATATAGCCAAGGCCATGTTAATCACCACTTGCTTTTCCTATCGAGAAAATGTGATCTAATTTTGTGGTGCCAAAATTCATCATCTTCAATGACTTTTGAGTGTGCTCCAGTTCAGCTCTTGTCTCCTACAGCTTTTTCTCCTTTTCAACATACCGAAATTCATAGTTTACAGCAGCCTTCTTAAGTACATCCTTCTCTTTAATAAGCTCATCGGCTCGCTCCCGCAAAGACTTATTCATTTTAACCACCAAAACCCATTTGTTGAACATGGTTTCATATGCCTCCTGGATTGTTTCCTCAGTTAGTTCTTCACCATTGCTGGAACCGTCAGAATCTGAAAAATCTCCATTTTCATCTGGTTTTTCAGAGTGTGTTGCAGATGATGTTGAAGATGATGTTGCAACATGAGCTGTGGCACGATCCTGTAACACTGCAGTTTAGAACATCTTGGTAGACATTGAACGCAACATAATTGTTCACATGATCATCATCTTCCTGGTTGCCTTCAGAATCCTCATCACTCCATGTGACGTTGAGAGACTTCTTCCTCTTTTGAGAGTGTTAGCACACTCAGACTGAATGTGACCATAACCGCCGCACTCCCGGCATTGAATTCTCCTATTCTTCTTCTTATCATTGGAGGAATTTGTAGCTCCCTTATTTTTTTGAAAATTGTTGGAGTTGTTGAACGTTGGAGTTTGGTTCTTCTCGTTGAACTTCTTCATCACCCTGTTAAAATTTTTAGTCAATCGAGTAAGAGACTCCGTTAAGTCTTCATCTTCTTCTTCAACATTATCTTCCACTTCGGCTTAGAAAGCAATCCCCTGAGAAATCTCTGTCTCCTTTTTATTTTGACTCAGATTCATTTCAAATGTCCTCAGTGATCCCATCAATTCATCCAGTCTCATAGTTTCAGTGTTTTTCCCCTCTTCAATGGCAGTGACTTTGTAGGCAAATCTCTGTGGTAATGATCTCAACGTCTTGCTGACAAGTTTTGCCTCGGGAATTTTTTTACCAAGAGCAAAGGAGTCATTAGCTATATCACACAACCGTGAATTAAATTCAGAAATAGTTTCAGTTTCATTCATTCGAAGAGTTTCAAACTTGGTTGTGAGCATATTCAATTTTGATTGTCTGACCGCACTTGTTCCTTCATGAGCCACCTCCAGAATCTCCTATGCTTATTTTGCTGATCACACGTGGATATCATCTTGAACTGATTAACATCAACTCCATTGAATATTGCATTGAGTGCACGTGAGTTGTAGTTAGACAAGCTGTCTTCATCAATGCTCCATGAATCTTCAGGTTTGAGAGTCTCTTTTCCTTCTGCATCTTTAGTTACTAGATGTTTCCAGCCATTCAAAACAGCACGCCAGACTTTCTCATCTTGAGACTTGATGAAAGCCTTCATCCGGGCCTTCCAATATGAATAATTCGAACCATCAAGCAGAGGGGGACATACAACTGAACCTCCTTCCTTAAAAAAATCCATTCCAAACATAACAGATCAATTCTCCAAGATCTCACCAAACTTATGGTCAGTGTCATGACCTCTGTTAGATCTGATGTTACGTCTGATGTTCCAGATGATGTTGGAACACTGTCTGGAATACGGCTTGATTAATTAAGATCCGGGTTTCTTACTATTCAAATTAATTACCAAGGAAAGACAGTAATGTAGAAAGTAAAATAAATGCACACGATATGATATCGCAGTTCGGTGCGCACACCTACTCTGCGGGGCCACGCCCATACAATAAACAGTTCACTATGTTCCAGAAATTACAGACACCAGACGGACTTATTCACTCAAGGACTCCCTCTTAGACAACGACGCCACTGTAACGAATCTCCACAGTGATTTGTTTAGCGTGCACCACACGTCTTCTAAACTGCACGGCGAACTCCCTTCGGCCGATAGAGCTTCCTCCAGAAAGCAACAAATCCCTCTCCCGAAGGATGATCTCAATAACTCATAAAAACTCACAGATGTCTCTCTGAATATTTTCTCAGTAGTAAGCTCTCAAATTCACAGACTTTTCCTTTGGATATATTCTCTTAAATCCGTAATACATATGCTCTGAAAACAAAGCTTTTTAAATCAAGTCAAGAGAATCTCATTTAAATCCACTCTTGATAAGATCTTCATTATCTCCATGATTCTCTCTCCTAGATTGGCTCCAAAATATCTTCACAATATCTTCTCAATCTCCAATTCAACTTATGCAGCAAACCTTCAAATCCGAATTAATTATCCTTGATGAAAGATAACACTTGATCTCTGAGTGCCTTATCTTTCGTTATAGCAAGTTATATTTGGATTTTCTTTGACCAAGTCAAATTTCAAGTTCCAATCACATGTGCAGCTCAAGCTTTAATCTTCTTTATATATCTCACATGAATGCATATATATATATATATATATATATAAGTCATTCAAATTTTAAATCTCTAATAATCGGATGAAGCCAAGAATTCGAATCTGAAAACACCTTGATCTTCATGCAAGCTTTATCTTCCATTTAAATTCAAATAACCAATGCATTATCTTCCTTTGATCAAGGCCTTATCCTTATCTCTCCAAATCTGATTCAGAATCTTCTTCTGCAATACGAAATCTTCTTGAACTTGTTTTTTTTTTGAATTTTTACAAGATTGTCAATAAATTGCCAACTAATAAAAATACCTATAAAAAGAGAACACTTGAAACTCGTCATTTTCATCGTAGAAGGCCGGGGATAAAGCATCCCAAATGGCGCGAGCCATGCATTTCATGATTTCTGGAGTCATAGACATGAGAAGCCATCTCTTGACCTTTTGATTTTCTGCATACCATTTTTCACGTTCATCGTCAGATGCTGCAGGTGCCTTTTTCTTGTCATGAATGTAGTGGAGTTTCTGCAATATGCATTTCCACATTTATCTTGGTAAGAGTAATCCCTACATTAAACGCTCCCTCAGATTGAACAACAATAGGTACCTATTTTGATTCCCGTTTAGTTCGCTGATTTAAGTTTTTAATTCAAGTTGAGATGTGACTTTATGTGAGAACTTTTTACTGTAACAAAAAACTTAAATGTGATTATTTCTGAGAGCTTTTTACTGTAACAAAACTTAAATTCTAAATTCGAATTGGTAAAATGAACGGCCTTAGATGATTCAACACTTTTTTCACTCATTTTTTTCTTTTTATTTTATTTTTCCTTTTTTTTTTACAGTACTAAACTAACAACACTTTTTTTTCCTTTTTTCTTTCAACAACGACACCTCCTCTTTTTTTATTTATTTTTTACTTACTTGAGAACAACCCTTCAATTTGATTTTGTCTAGGAAGCTCCCTGTTTGTTTGTTTGTTTTTTTGTTTTTATATATATAACACCAAAAACGACCACCAAAGAGAAACATTAACAATAGGAAAAAAAAAAAAGACAACTTTGATTAATGGATACCACAACAGTGACTATCTATAAATTCCATGCACGGCCTGGCCAGAGAGGAGGAGGACGCTCCGGCGGCTTCAGTGGCTAGCAGCGAATGCCTGGGTTTTAGAGGACAGCGAGTCTGACCGTGGCGCAACAAGGAAAGGGCGGCTCTACGTTTGCCGAAGAGCAAACTGTGACGGCGATGCGCAAAGGATCTGGTTCGGCGGTGCGATTCGGTGCGGATATGGAAGATGATGGCGGCGGCTTAACTGCTATGGTCTAGGCGTGCAAACAAGTGGATGCGAGAAGAAAAAAAAAATGAAAAAGAAGAGGCAGGATTAAACCTGTTCTGATACCATCTTAGTAAAACAGATGGTACATTTTATTATTATTCACTTAGGAAAAAAAAGGAAATACAAAATATATAGAAAATGATAAAACACGATACCTAAAATCAAATGTATTGCTAAACTGCAATTTGGATTCTCTGCATTTGATTTGTTTCTCTTCATTTCAGAATTATTTGTTTCTCCGCTGCCTAACCGATCATCTCATAGTACTATACATACATATATATATAAGTATATATATTATATACTTAAGCATACATGATCATCTCGATTGTCAATCATGCTTCAATTGTTCAGAGCCATTCTTTGCTTCTGAGTCTCATTAGGTACCTTCACGTCAGTTGCAAATCCAATGGCTTGGAGAAGTCTCACAACACACCAAGTCATGTCAAGTTGCCACCATTCCAACCCATGTCTTGCTGAGTACTCAAAAGCATGGTGGTTGTTGTGCCAACCTTCTCCAAATGCAAGTAATGCCACCCACCTAAACAGTCAAAAACATTTACAGGATTTTAGATTTTGCACCAAATTTAGTTTCACAAAGGCTTATGTATATATATGTATATAAAAAGTGTATAGACGTATGGTACCAATTGTTCCTGGATAGATCACCGGTCTTCCACGCTTGCTTCCCCCAAACGTGGCAAGCTGAGTTAACCAGCCAAGTGATGTGATACACCCATATAACCCTCACGCCCTGCAATGGTTTAACCTTTCTTTTAATACCACTATTGCTTTTTGATAAGTGGTACTGACCACAGCCTATATTTTTTGTTTTTAAATTATTCTACTCCTAACTTTAAAATCATTCGCTCCTTTGTCTCTGACCTTTAAAAATTTTGATTTTAACCCCCCGATTTTTAAATTAATCCCATTTGATCCTCTTTGTTATAGTTTATGTTAGGTATTTTTATTAGTTGGCACTCCTAACTTTAAAATCATTCGCTCCTTTGTCTCTGACCTTTAAAAATTCTGATTTTAACCCCCCGATTTTTAAATTAATCCCATTTGATCCTCTTTGTTATAGTTTATGTTAGGTATTTTTATTAGTTGGTAATTTATTAACAATCTTGTAAGAATTTAAAAAACAATTTTAAGAAGATTTTGTATTGCAGAAGAAGATTCAAAATCAAATTTAGAGAGATAAAAATAAGGCCTTGGTCAAATGAATATAAGACTTTAGTCAAAGGAAGACATTGGTTATTTGAATTTAAATGGAATTCTAGAAAGAGATAAAGATAAAAAAGATTATGTGGAGAATTTGAACTAATAATTATCTGAATTTGGGAAGGCTATAAACGTGGAAGATAAGGAGATATGGGTTTGAATTTAAATGGAAGATGAGCGCATAGAGATTTGAAGTTTGAAATTTATATGAAGATAAATGTTGTGCTACAATAATCAGTTGGAAGCAATTGGATGTTTTCAATCTACTTTGGCATTATCTACTTGCCTTACATGCAATACTCGGTGGAAGTTATATTGAGAAAATTAAGGAGATAATGAAGCAAATATGTTTGTGTAGATAAGATAGCATGCATATTACTTGGAGAAGATCGTGAAATGAATTTGAATAAGCTATCTTCGCGGATTACGAGTTTTTTTATGAGGCGTATGTGATTAACGTGAAATAAGGGGAGTTTTAGAAGCTCTATAAAAGAAAAGGCCTCAAGGTTGCTCAAAGTGACACGGATTTAATAGAACTTCTCTGGAGGAAAAGTCTGTGAATTTGAGAGCTTATTATAGAGAAAATATTCAGAGAGACGTTTGTGAGTTTTTGAGATCGTCCTTCGGGAGAGGGATTTGTTGCTCCACCGGTCAAAGGGAGTTCGCCAGTGAATAAAATACGTGTGGTGCACACTAAACAATCACTGTGGAGATTCGTCACAGCGGCGTCATTGTCTAGAGGGGAGTTCTTGAGTGAATAAGTCAGTCCGGTGTCTGTAATTTTTAGAACATAGTGAACTGTCTGGGCGTGGCCCCACAGATGTAAGTGTGCGCACTGAACTGCGATATCATATGTGTGCTCTTTTATTTTCTGCACTTTATTTCGCTCGAGCTGTTGAACGTAATTAACCCGGATCTTAATTAATTAAGTCGTAGTTCAGATAGTGTTCTAACATCATCTAGAACACCATACGTAAAATCAGATCTAACCGTTTATATTAAAAACAGACAGAAAGAGAGGGAGTTAGATGTGGTCAAATTGGTCATTTTCCATTTGTTTTCAATAAAAAGTTATAGAAGGAATTAAGTGGGACTATTTCAAAATTTAAATGACAAATTTGGAGTTTTAGGGGGCGTTTGGTAGAGGGATTCGTTCCCTAATTCGAATCATGATTCGTGGTTTGCTACAATATTTTCTCTCAAAAAAATACACGTAAATCGAAAATGGTTCGAATCACATGGTTTGATTCAAGAAAATAAAAACCACTCAAAACAAAGACTTGATATGAAAGCTCAAAATCAACTTTGCCTCCGGTTTCCTTCATTCTTTCACCAACAAGTTCAAAGTATGAATTCAGATTTAAAGATCGAGTTGAAGCAATTACTTTTCAAGCATTTAAGAGCTCATAATTCAGCTTAGAAGGCAACAAAAGCATTAACTATATAATGAGTTTAAGGTAGAAGTTCCACAAAGCATAACAAACCACTTCAAACTCATTAAAGAAACGACAGACATACTTACCATTCCCCACACCAGGAATGGAAATCCCCCCACTGCATACAGCAGAACTCCAAGAGCAATTGGGTGAAGAATGTAAGAACTCCGCATAAACTTATAGAATGGCTGCTTCTCTAAATCCGAAACATTGTTAGGTGCTCCACACTGCAAAATTTCCACATTTGAATCTTCACATTAATAACTTAGACAACAACTATAGTATAGATAACAGAGAGAGGAAAAGAGAGAAATATTTCATACCCTTTCAATTACAGAATTGGTGTCAAATAACCAACTCATGTGACTAAACCAGAAACCTTCAGTTGGGCTATGTGGGTCTCTCTCAGAATCACAAAACTGGTGGTGGTACCTATGCGTGCTCACCCAATCTATTGGATTCCCCTACCAAATTAAAATAATAATAATAAATAAATAAATAAATAAATAATAAAAAAATTAACAAAAAGAAAAATAAAGAACAAAAATAATAATAATAATAATGAAAATGTTTTTTTTTTTAATTTTATTTTTCACAGATACCTGAAGAGCCAAAACTCCACAATAGGCAAACAAGTATTCAAGCCATTTGGGAAGCTTGAAACTCCGGTGAGAAAGGTTCCTATGAAAAGACAGAGTAATTCCAAAGAGTCCAGTCACGACATACAAAGCGATGGCCACCCAAAAAGCACCCCAATTGAAATGGAAAGGCGCGAAAAGACTGAGCAAATGCGTTGCCAAAACAACCCCAGCAGTGCCCATATCCAAAGAATTCCATTTCCTTCCCCAAAAGACCCTCCTCGGCTTCTCCACCACCACGTCCGACAACAGAATCCTCTTCCCACTCACCACCGGCGGCTCCGGTTCGGCCTCCGTGGCTTCTCCGAATGCCGCATTGGGGATCGCCTTAACTGTTCCATTGGAATTGGCATGCAGAAAATGGGTCAAACGTTTTGCGCTTTTCACTACTTTTGCAGGCTTTTGCTCGTTGATACCCGACTTTGGGAAAATGGGTAGGCGAGAAACTGGCCGGAGAGGGACTACATTGCTTCCAAACCGGCGAGTTGTGCGGCGGAGAGGAAGAGAAATTTGGGATTTGGGATTGGATGGTCGTGAGGTGACCAGAGCCATGGGAGAGAAAGGAAAGGCTTGGTGTTTCAAGTGGGAAAATTTTGTGTTTGTGTTTAATTGTATGTGTTTTATACAAGATTGGATTCAGTGGCGGGGTAGATTCATTGGGCTTTTAGTTCTACTTTGCGGAAAAGTTTGTGGCTTTTTGTAGGAGCGGTCAAATTTTTGTGTGGGCTGAAAGGGAGAGAAAGAGACAAGTGTGTTTACTGGTTAGATAAGGAGGCCGGTTATGCGTGTTTTTGGTTTGTGTTCAGATTTTTTGGACCCAGTTTAAGTCAGTGTGATGCAATAAGATCCAGATATTTTTTATCCTTTTAGATAATACCCATTTGGGGTTTTTGTCCGTTCATGTATATAAAGATAGATTTTTTGTGAGGAATTTGTGTTTGTGATTGCTTTATCTTCTGATCTCTAAACAGTACTTCCTGGTGGACGGCTTAGAGCTCCATTTTCTCTCAGCTTTTCTGCTTTGGAGAGAGAAGAGTGTGTGATTCATGGCGGCAACAAATGGGTCAATCTTTCCGTCTTCCGCACAAACCTTTTTGGCTTTGAGGTCCATCTCTAGCAATAAAGCAACTCATCTTGTTCCCACCCCTCTCGGTGCGTTTGCTTCTTTTTCTGTTTTTTCTTCAATTGCACGAGATTGTTCATTTTGACGTGTAGAATTGGAAAGTACAAATAAGGATGCTTTTGAAGGCACGTTTTTCAAGTGTTAATAGAGTTTCCTTCATCGGCTCAAGCTATTTTTGAAATAATTTTTAATATCTTTCATTTGGCTGGTTATTGCAGTAATAATGAGTAGTAGAACTAAATCTGATTTGTACTCATCTATCATAAGATGGAAATGGACAAGGCGAGAAAGAAATATGTACAGCTAAAGCAAATATACAATTGGAGAGTTGAGTGAATTTGAATTGGTTTAATTGTTTTATGAAAATGTTTTGAGGTTGCATTACATTGATAATTTGCTTTTTTTTTTCCTCCTCAATGCAGCTAGCAATTTTTTGGGTTCTTCTCTCTCAAGAAGTCCCTCTGAGAAGAAGAAAGTTGTGAAGATTAGTGGGAAAGTATGTGTTGCTATGGCTGTTGCAACCTCTCCCGGGGAGGAAATAAAGGAGTATGGTTTCCAATTCCCTCTTTTATTTGTTTTACTTTATTTTTAACCGAGGGTGTGGAGATTTGACTCAAGACCTCAACATTAGAGGCAGGGGTAAATTTACCGCTAGGGGCAGGATGTAAATTTACCACAAGGCTTTGCTTGCAACAATCCAATTCCCTCTTCTTAGAAACGTATTTTTACTCTTCTTTGTGTATTCTAAGATTCACGGAGGTTTTTCTCCCCTTAGCAAAGCAAGTCCTTTTTTCTCTGTAGAAATGGAAAAAACTAATAACTAGTCTACATCAAGAGATTTCATTGCTTTTCATTTTTCTACATCAAGAGATTTCATTGCTTTTCAACTTGAGATGTTTGATTATCGCTATGGTGACTTAACGTGATTTCCTTCGCTTTTAGGTTCACGCTTCCCTCATGGGCTATGTTTGAACTTGGGAAGGCTCCTGTATACTGGAAAACTATGAATGGTCTTCCTCCGACTTCTGTATGGCATTTCTGCTTTCCTACTGATTTTAAGAATACAAGTTTCCTTGGAATACCTTATCTCTTAGCAATAACATTCATAAACATTGACAGGGAGAAAGGCTAAAAATTTTCTACAACCCAGCTGCGACTAATTTCGCTCCAAACGACGAATTCGGGATTGCATTTAATGGTAATTTAAGGAAACTAAGTTTGCTTTGTGCTGTTTTCTGCTTGTGTAGGCTAAGAGCTTGATTTTGATCTGCCTCTGCTTCTAACTTTTTGCAGGAGGATTTAATCAGCCTATAATGTGTGGTGGAGAGCCAAGGGCAATGCGAAAGAAATCTAGAGGAAAAGCTGATTCCCCAATATATAGTATCCAAATATGCATTCCCAAGCATGGTTAGTACTATTTAACAAATTTTTGTATATTGTTATTCAATTTCTGCGTTCTGATTTTTCATCCTTCTCCAGCTCTGAAATTGATCTTTTCGTTCACAAATGGAGTTGATTGGGATGGTCCGTACAGAATGCAATTTCAGGTTCCTAAATCTTGGCAAAACAAGCCAATTGAATTCTTCAATGAGGTAATTGAACAACATGTTTCCCTTGAACAATGATGATGAGATGTTGCTGCAAAAAAAGTTGAAAAACTTGGAAAGTAGTGCACGAAAAGAGTTCTTAACTATGTGTAAACTGAAAAGTGATGAAAGATAGTAAAATGCTAGTGAAACAATTTTGATCTTCTTTCCTGTAAATTGATGAGGTCATTAGAGGTGCTTATTTAACTGAAGAAACAAAGGCTGAACTTTTCATATCATTTTTGTTTGGCGATGAAAAAAAAAAAAAAAAAAGCCCTCAGTTTAAGGCACACTGAAAAAATTTGGTTGTCTATCTACCCTTATGTGCAGGGTCTAGCAGAAGAGTTGAGCAAAGAAGGTGCATGTGATAGAGCAATCTTTCCAGACGCAAGCATAGTTGTCACTAGATGTGCTATGATTGGCAATTTATCGGTAGAAGGGGTACGGTATTTCTTCATTTGCAAAATCCCAATTATATTTTCTTTTGTCCCTCTAGGCTGTGTAAAAAACTAGCGATTAATTTTGTGCATCGAATTGTAACTGCAGGGTGATCGTTGCAACCTTAATCTCGTACCAGGATGCACCGATCCCAGCTCGCCATTTTATAACCCGCTTGCCAACGTAGATGATGGATCCTGCCCGATTGATACTGACGATGAAGCCTAGCATATTGCAGCATTTCCTGGTGAATTCACATAGAAATTTCTGTTACATATTACAGTCTACGCATATATAGAAAAGGCCAGTCCTGTTCCAATCTCCTCCACCAACCTTGTACTAAACACGGTCTTGCTGGTGATTTTTCACTCATTATAATGTTGTAGTTAGTTATTCTTGTGTTGGTCATAATGGGTTAGGTGGAAATTGGTGATTCTTATTCTAATACTTGAAGAAGAAGAAGAAAAGTACAAAAAAAGTAATAAGCTCAAAACAAGGGTGTGCGACTGAATAATGCTCTTCAACATTATATACATTCATATACATTACTACTACAGTACTACTTGCTAAAAGTTCAATTTATTTATTTATTTTAATTTTCATCAAACAGATAACTACAAATAAGAATGCTGGAATGGTCAGCAAATGCTTGCTCCGTCAGTCTATAAAATGGTAGAACTAGATCTAATTTTCTCCTACCCTACCACGCACGATGTTCCCATTCCTAGTTACAGAAAATTATTATACATGACTACTGATTAATGGTCGAATGATTCAAAGGTCTATAAATGGTATACGTTTCCTTCAAGTGAAAATGGCAGATGAGACGCAATAGATCCTCTTTTTAATCATTGAACAATAAACTGATCAAATTCCTCTCCCTACTTGGAATTCCTTAAATTAATCACGATTTTCTTATTTAAAATTCATGTCTGCGTTAGTTGGTTCTTGGTAGCTGATAATGCGCACGATCATCACACATGCATGTTAGGTAGCCAAAAATGGGAGTTTACCAAAACAAGAACCCTCAAGAAAAAAAACTGCTAAGCTAGCGTTGGCCTAATATCTATTTCCACGTCTCTTCTTTGCCTAACTGGACGATGGCTGGCAATTCTCATTTTCCTTTATAATATTTCAAAAAAAAAAAAAAAAAAAGGCAAGCTAAACAACTGTCGCTTATGATCTGATCTAGACTAGGAATTTTCTTGTGCCATCTTGTTTACGTCAAGAAAGCTTCTTTAGTAGTTGTAATTGTTTTAGAAGGATTAGGTGCAGCAGCTACAAATGTTTCTTTTCTCTTGCTTTCTACATATTTGCCGGCAAGGGAATCGAATAGAATTCCAGCACCAACACCGACGGCCAAATCTATGGTGTAGTGACCTCTTGTGCCGAGCAACCTCACCGCTTGCAGCACATTGAGCACCTCAAAAGTCCATGCTAGTTCGAACCTCTGCATTCGCCTCATGTCTAGAGATGCAATTACTGACCCCGCAACATGACCCGAAAAGAACAGAAAGAAGGACACGTTCCCCACCGGAAAGTCCACTCCCGATCCCAGAAAACCCTACAATGATTGAGAAAAAAATAATATTATTGCTAAAATTCTTTCCATTGACACTTTTTTTTTAAAAAACTATTAAAAAAATTGTGAAAAAAAAAATTGCTCAAGTGAAGAACATTAGTACTGACTGATGAGTGATTTGGATAAACTAGTACTTCAAGCCACCACTTTATTTATCATCTTTTGTTCACTACTTACGTGAGAATATTATTTAAGATCTCGACTTTTCAGTAGAAATTAAGTGGGACATAAGTGGCGTAGTTTATATGATAAAAAATTGTCACATTTAGCGTGGTGAGCAGTAAATAATAAAGTAATGTCTCGATCATCATTCATCTAAACATTCTAATATATGAAAATGCATTTTGAATGTAACCCCTAAATCTAAAATTAGATAAATTTGCAAAAAAAAAAAAAAAACTTAGCCTTAGCAATATTCTTTGGCTAAGCTTAAAAATTTCATGTATTTCTTCCTTAAAGAGAAGAAAACAAAGAAAGAACGCTTCATGCATTTCTTCCTTAGTGTTAGGGTTGCAACTAATTGCAAGTATATTCTGCAGCTGGCAAAAGAAGTTGCACGTGCCTTCCACGTGTTAGAATATGTGTACCTGAGGTAATGGAAGCTGGGTGGAATAGCCTAGAATACCCCGGCATGTGAACATGAAGAGTGCTGAGATAGAGGCTCTCGGACGCCCTTCAATCAAAAACGTCCAAAGTATATACACCGTTTGCATCCCTACAAACACCTAACCAAAAAAAAAAAAAAAAAAATGGTCAATTGGACAAAAAATAAATAAAAAATAAAAAATCGAACTCTTTCAAAATCATTATTATTTAAGTAATTTTAATGGTTTGAGATTTGTGAAAATTACGGATAGATTTAGGCAAAACTGAAAGTATAAAAGAAAATTTCCGTGACTTAACCAATGAAGATTGTCTATCCTCACCAAACACACGCTTTGTCCAAAGCTCTAGATGTAGATGCATGGAATATATTCCAATCTAAGAAAAGTAAAAATAAAAACAAAAACAAAAACATCATAAAAAACACGAACATCAAAATCAAAAAAAGTTTTCTCTTCAAAACATCGGGGGAAAAAAAAAACGAAGAAAAACAACATCAAAATCACAAACCAAGGAGAAGGAAAGACAAATAGATCATGTGAAAAGAACAAGGACATCAATAGTAAAACAGAATTAACAAATCCGATGAATATTTACCGTATTGAGAGCAGCGAACAAGGTGTTGAGGTGGGGCGAGGAGGCGAGCACGCGATGGAGGTGGCGCGTGGCAACGAATCCCAGATCGAAAGGCGGCGACGACGACGGCACCATGCGGAGCGTGTACTCCACGGCCATGAAGAACAGCAGCCCCGCGGCGAACACGCAAGGCAGCCAATGGAACCTCGCCACGTGTAGGAGGTCGTCGGCCGTCCACGTCATGAAGAAGGCGCGAGCTGCGATGTTGCTGAGGTGGCCCTTCTTCGCCATTCCCATATCGACGTCGGTACTGGCGGCGGCTGCGGCGTCTTGATCGGAGTTTGGTGGGGCCCGCCTGTTCTTGAGCGTGAGGGTGAGGACCGAGGGGGTTGAAACGGCGCCGTTCATGGGGAGAGAAGGGCAATGTGAAGGGATGTCATTGTGTGGGGATGGGCTTGGATGATATAAAAAGGGAGGAAGTGGGGTCAGGACGGAGTTTCCTAGGAGTGAAAGGGGGCGGCGGATGCAAATCTCTCTCAGATCTCTCCCACCACCAATGGCGATCTATCTGCCTCAGTCTGACTGGAGGGATTAGGGTCAGACGCCAGTGTAACGCTTTATTCTTTTTATATAGCAACAAAATGGTTGGGCCGCATTAAATGGGAGTGTCCTATGACTATATGGGTGAATTAGAGGAGCACCACCTCTAAATGCTATATGTTTGATAGAAAAATAAGAAAATATGATAGAAAAAAAATATAAAAGTGATAGAAAATAGTAATGATGGAAAGAAAATTGATTTTTTTTTTATGTTATTTAATATAAAAAGATGAAAAGAAAATGAGTTTATCTTCACTTGTTTGGTATTAGAAAAAGAAAAAATCTTACTTGTAAATTATTTTTATACCCTTAAATTTTTTGCTTGATGGATAAAATTGTAGTTTAGTAACTCTGCTCACTTTAATGAGTTATCCCCATTTTCATCCCATTTTCTGCACACTTATAGAAAGAAAAAAAATGGTGGGGCTCACATGTATTATTTTTCACTCCATTTTCTCTTCTTTTCTCTTTTCTCTCCTACCAAACAACCTACATTTTCATTTTCCCTCTCAAAATCCCTCCACCTTCTTCCTTCATTCTACTTTTCTCTCCTACCAAACATACTCTAAAGAGTGGACACTTCACTTTTTTAAAAGAAACTAAGCCCGTTTGGTTCGCTAATTCGAGTTTTTAATTCGAGTTGATATGTGATGTTGTGTAAGAGTTTTTTACTGTAGTAAAAAAGTTAGATGTGACTGTTTCTGAGAGTTTTTTACTATAACAAAATTTGAATTCTAAACTCGAATCAGCGAAAAAAACGGGGCCAATTTTCACATCAAAATGTGTATTTGAAATTCAACTCTTCAAAAGTATCATATACAGTCTCGTGTTAGGTTTATAATCAAATGTTTGAGAATTTCTCTTGAAAGATTAATGTTAAGATTTTTGTGTGTCAGCAGCCTAATACTTTATTTTGAATTACGTCCCATATATCCTTACCACGAGCACACTTTGATATTTTTATAGAAAATCTAAGCGTTTTAGTGAGAAGAGATATAAAGATTTTAGTCTTTTGTAAAGCATTATAGAAATCAAGAAGGAGAATAAAGTGGGAGTATTTTCTAACTTAATTAGACTTTCTATTGACAAAGAGCATCAGACGCATTATCTAATTTAGTGTTGATATTTTCTTTTAATAAAATACTTGTATTTTTTCAGAATAGCAAAATATTAATATCACAATTTAATTCAATAATTTTTTTTAAGATGAGATACTTGTCTATTGTTAGATAAATACACATTAAATAATACAATTGAAGGAGGAATTGTCTTCAACTATACAAGTTTATAACCAAGCCTAAAGGCATACCAAGCCAATCCATGAGTCACTCTGTTACTAATACAACTGGAAAATTCACACAAGCATCCAGAAAGAAAGACAACAAACTAACTACGGCCCCGTTCATTTCGTCGATTCGAGTTTAGAATTCGAGTTTTGCTACAGTAAAAAGCTCTCAGAAACAGTCACATCTAACTTTTTTACTACAGTAAAAAGTTCTCACACAAAATCACATCTCAACTCGAATTACAAACTCGAATCAGCGAAGTGAACGGGCCACATCTATCAATAGGTTATTTCCACAGGAACCCTAAATATAAAAGGTGCTTTAGACCATCTTCGATTCAAATATTTCAAACCAATAATACATTCAAAACTAAGTATATAAAAATAACATATATTATATGTTTTTATTTTGTGCCGGCCATAGCATATTGCTAATTAAAATGCTATTTTTACTTTTTGTTGTAATTATTAAGCTTAGAAACTTATTATATAATTTGACATTCATACCCAAATATGGCACTACAATGCTCAAAAGCTTGAGTAACAACTAAAGCCTCTGACTTTTCAGCAAAACCTAAAGCATCTAACTCAATGGTTGTAAGTCGAAGCCAAGTGCAACCGGTGCATAATGTTGATAAGATTTTCTCTCTTTTTTTTTCTTTTTTGAAAAGAATAAGTTATATTTGTGTATATTTTGGTAAACAATTTTTTTCTTTTTTATATTCTATTGGAATTTTCTTATACAATTGAAAAAAAAAACCCTTAATTGTAGTGAATGTACCTATATGATCAGATAGGTATACAAATCATCTTTATCTTTATAATGTGAATTCTGGTTAATTTATTGGATTATAATTTAGTATTAACATAATAACTTCGTCTTCTCGTATATAGGTACTCTTTATACTCTTTATCGCGCAACGTTAACTTCCTATTTACCAAATTTTATTTCCTCAATTTATTGTTATATTGCAATCAATACAGGTACTGATTTTTACTAAAAATAAAAATTCAAAATTTACGACGCATTGGGTGCATTTGGAATTGTTTCCAAAACGTTTTTGTTTTTTGTATGAAAATGAAAACAAAAACGTTTTTATTTTCATTTTGGAATCATTTCTGAAAATGCGTTTGGTAGTTTTATTCAGAGATTGATTTCAGTTTAAAAAAAATTGAAACTGCGTTTGGTGGTTTAATTTTTGACAACATGTAATAATATATTAAATAAATAATATTATTAAATATATTAAATAATAATATTATTATTAATATATATTAAATGAACGTTA